AAAAAAAAAAAAAAAAAAAAAAAAAAAAAAAAAGTGTGATCAACAAAGAAGACGATCACCTCTATCACGAATCTTCACAGGTAAGAAAGTGGCATAAAAGAAAGACAAATTGGTTAGAGAAAAACGTACACAACACTTCACAATAAAAAAAATACATGCCTCTTTTAAAACGAAAATACCGGAACAAAAGAGAACTTTATAAAGAGAGGCAAAAGCTCAAAATTATATAAAACTTACGCAATATAAAATAACAACTATACAAGCCTTCCATGTTACTTTTACCCCAGGTAAAATAATAATTAAAGTACTAATCTTCAAGGCGGCATATAATAATGTGTAACACCATTAACTCCTCTTACTGAAGAAACCCTGAAAAAAATCCGAGCACTCTTTCTCGCGCATTCGCCAATTCCAAGTTGATTGCAATAGCAAAGAACTCAGAAAACATAAAACAGAAGCAAATTATAAAAGGCGATTGATAATTATTTCATCTTTCAGACTTTAAGTAACGACGAAGAAATAAACCATTCCATAAAAATTTATAACAAGAAAACTACGAACCGAGTAGTTATACATTCAGATGGGTGCCCTGCACTGTGAACGGCAAGGGTATGCAAATTGTCCTCACTTGTTTCCTGTTTTGGCTCCCCAGATATATTATTGGAAAGTAAAGGCATTGTGTGGAACTTAGAAGTACCATTGCTTTGCAAGTTTACTTTCTGGTAATCCTTGATACTATCCTCCCTCTCAAGACCAATTCTCGCTGGAGGCCGCAAAGATCTAACGTGCCCAGGCTGCTCAAACCTGAGTTATTGAAAACAGAGTTAAAATCTGGTTTAAAAAATGGTAGTAGAAAACAAAAAATACAAGTAAAAACAAATTTATAAGAAGAAATGACAAACTTCCTACCCAAAAGAAGTCATTTTCTTTCTCTGGTGTTCAAAACAAGTACTGCAAAGAAAATTTGTTGTCTGCGACGCTTTCTAAAAATTATTTAAGAAGATCAGGAAGGATCATAAATTAAAACCGATCAGAATGAACAAAAAACGTAAAAAACTACCACAAATTCTGTTTACTCACCTCCCCACAGTTCACATTCATACACGAAAGATTTGAAGATGAAACACTAAACGAACGAGACAGTCTGGCGCGTTGACGGGAGATTGTTGAAGGAGTCTTAAACAGTTAAAAAATAGATCGAAGTCTTCATAATGATCCTCGGTCAAATTTTTAGGAAAGAAAAAGCAGTAACTGAGTATAAAAACGAATAAATCATAAAATCGAAACATCTTCACAATTTTCTCCAAGAAACAAGCAGCGATCAGAAACAGAAGATTAGACGTGATCTTGAGAGCGAGACTGATAAGACTGTTTAAAAAACATCGAAAGCGAAAATATCCGAAAAGCTTATAAAATAGCTAACTAAACATGACAATCGTTTCAATCACGTATCTTCGGATGTCTAGGTGTTCTGCTGAAATTCTTCGAATCTACTTACCTTAGCAGTGAAAGTACCTATATCTAGACTTTAAACTTGAAGAAGTTAACTACCAAGTATAAAATACAAAAAGCTAACTCCTCAGTCTTTACTCCTCTAATGCTTCTTGCTTTTTTATTTTCACAGTTAACTTCTTCCACTTTTTTCTTTTTTTGAACTCAAGTGTGTTATAAATCTCTTGAGAAGAAAGCAAACGGCACTACGATTGATCCAAAAGCTACTTGTTTAAAAACTCCACTTAACGAATGAGTTATCTGGAGGAGACTTGCTGGTTATATTAAAAGAAAATAAACTAAACTGGAGAAGTCAATGCGCCTAGTGAAGCTCATTTGGCTGAAAAAAACCTTGACAGTAACCCGATATTATAAATTATATAGAGGAGATGGCGCTTAACCTTCGGAACGGCAGAACGACAAAGACGGTTAAAAAACGAGTAACTTATAAAATAACCATAATAAAGCATTTGTGCCCTATGAAACTTAGAGAAAATTCTTCTTTGTGCAAATCGAGTCGCTGAATGTAAGAAAAGCTTGAAGCTGTGAAGTGAAATAGAACTAGGCAGCAAATAGATAACGAAAAGGGTTTGCCACAAACACAGCACCCAAACTCTCCGTAACAAGCAAATAAAACCGTGTAACACAGCTGGCTCCAAACCTTTTAATCGCGGCGCTATTTGTACTGTAAAGAAATACCTAAAAAATTTCAATGTGATCTTTCAGTCCACCACTTCTACTTCTTCAACTACATTTTACTAAACTCCATCATTTATGAAAGTTTTTTATTCGCAGACAATGATTTCCCGATCGCGATGGATAAAAACCGTCTGCAACAGTTTTTTGTCTTTGGGACAGATCCTCCTACTACTAAAATGTCAGACAGCCTAACCTCAAGAGCTAGTAAGTGATTCTAATTATATACTTTTAGATAAGACAATATCGTTTTCAACCAAATTATGACCAAAATCACCACAAAAAATTTAAAAAACTGATAGAACAACACTAGTCACTGAATAAAACACTGTCACAATCCTGAAATGATTTGATAAGACTCGTTAAAAAGCACGCTTTCGAAAACCTTTTGTAAGGGAGAACACTCAAATATCTTCAAAGCATTATATTACTATGCGGTAGTGACTTGAGTGAAATATAACAGAATGGAAGTTGCATCATTTGTTTGGAAAACAGAATAGCTTTTGAAAAAAGTGAAAAAATTCAGAAACCAATGAAGGTGTTACACACATACACAGTCAAACTAAACAACAGCGATAAAAATTAAACAAACGGTTCTAAACATTTAGGAAGGATGAATAAAAATCATACGTTTTTCGACTCTTCAAATCGCTTTCTGGCAGAACGAAGATAATTCTTAACCATATAATCCATATACTCGTGAGCATCAGAACATAGTCTAGCAGCTACGACTGTGTTGTTAGACCTCAGATCTGCCACAGAAACGTCTCCAGCAGATTTCTTGTGGTCCTTAACGCAGTCAAGTTGTTTCTTACGTCAAATTAAGTTCCAACAGGAAACAAAAAAAAATATTTCCCCAAAAAAACGCAGTATTTAGATTAGGAAAGAAACACTTGCGAGAAATGACATAAAAAGTAACCTTTTTTCTCGAGCGGAATTTTAGACTCTTCCTCACTAGAAGAGCAACTTCAAGGACAAAAATGCTTATAGAACGACTTTTATTTTCGCTGCATCCCATGCAAGCAAGTGTTGCAGACTTGCTAAACTCATCGTTTCTACTATACTCACTTTCCCTATTTAAAGATTTCCTAATTGAGCTACGTCGTACCTAAAAGTTACGAAAAGTTTAAGTGCCAAGTAAAAAACCAGTGAAAATCTGATTGAAAGAATAACACTAACATCTATTTTCACTATATCCATATATTCACAAATCAAAGACAGTTGATCCTCTTCTGACAACTCGATCCGGCTGGCGATTTCTTTGTCCTCAGCG